ATTAATTATTTTTCCTCACTTTCTCTTGATGAGTGGATATCACATAAGGTTTGACATTCTAGAATTTGCTTTGTTTTGTGTATTGAGATCTCAATTTATTGAATTTGGTGCATTAAAATGACAAAAGCACCTAGATCTAACCCTTTTTCACTTTCTTAAAAAGCCCACCTTGATCATGTTGACCATTAGTAGACCATTTTTGAGCCTAATTCTTTTCTTTGTTAATAAACCCATGTAAAAGTTGCTTCAATGCCTTTCTGTTTGACCCTGAGTCAAAAGAACATGATATTTAGTTGCATGAAAAATTGAGTACTTCTACATAGTATGAAGTTTGAAGGTTGTTCAAGATGCAAGTAAGAAAAGCAAAAAAATTGAAAAAAAATCGAAAAAGGAAAAAAATTGAAAAGAAAAAATATTTGATGTGTGGACCTGTGTTTATATTATACAATTTTCTCCAAGGTCCTTTGACATGCATCTGTGTGATGGTTGACAAATATTGTTGATACACTCGAATGTCGAAGTATGTGCAAAGATTGGTACTTGAATTCATGTAGTGACATTTTTAGCATTTCCTTGATATGTTTATTCCTAAATTTTTCTTTTTATTCAACCTTTACCCGAGCCTCATTATGCCGTTTGTAAAGTCCCTTGGATTTTTGCACTAGATTCATGTTTAGTAGTGGAGCTGTGATATATTAGCAAATTTAGGGTAATATCATTGCATTGTGCTAATCTGAGAATTAATTAATTCCTAAATAATTTTTTAATGTTTAGCACATACACTAAAATCCTAGTGAGGGTTATTATCTCTTGTACATCTTGATTTTAAAAAATTGTAAGAGAAATAGTTTGTGTTCGTAGAGTATACTATGAAGTGCTTGCTATCTTGATTATAATTTTTGGTTAGTAAATGCTTAGGGATAAGTATGGTCTAAATGTGGGAAAGTTTGATAGTGTGCTTAATAGATATATAACTTGTATCTATTCTCTATTTGTTTTAGTAGGTTATTGTGTTATTGGGTAAATTCTGCTTATGTTTTATATTTTGGTGGTGTCTTTAGAATTTGGGATGAAAAGAACTTAAAAGAGTTGTTAAAGAGACTATCTGCTGTAAAGCGCGAGCGTGTTTTGAAGAATCTGTGAAATTCAGAAGTTGTGGGACCTGAGATTAATTTCAATAATTAAAGAGAATAATTGATTGATTCTCTTTAATTATCTAGGAAAGTAGTTTACTCCACAGGGGAAGATAATTCCCTTTTATTAGGATTATTTTAGGAGATTATCAGACGGATTGTTAGGGTGAGAATGTTGATATATAATATCGAACTCTCAATGCATTTTATTGTCATAGCAGTTAGTTTTTCTTTCTTTTTCTCCCAAGGCAAAAACATTGATATTTTCTCTCTTTGGCTATATTTCTCCCTGAGGAGTAGCTAAGTCTAGTTTTCTAATCAAAAGATAATTGAAGATTTGGGTCTACGATAATTGTGAGATCTAATTTATTATTAATGTTTCATATATTCATGGGTATTTGTATATTTCCTGTATTACAAGTGTGATGATTATTGTGTGTAATTGAATAGGTGTGTGATATTTGATTATTCACAATAGTTTATTATCAATTAAAATTAGTTGAATTCGAAATTGTTTGGTAGTTTTAATATTAATGGCTACTAGCATGATTGTATTTGTCTCAGAAAACATACGATCTAATTTAAATGAGTTCTCATAGTGTGTTTGTTGAGTAGAATTGGCCTTTTCTAATTCTTAATGCTGTTAAAAAAATTAAATCTTATGCTTATACCTGCAGTTGTCTTTTAATTAGGGAATTAACTAATGATCGTACCTTAGATACCTCGAAAGTAACGAAATGCTGGTTGTCAGAACTTGTTGATAGTTATAACCAATTTATTCATGAATATTTGAATTTATCTTTGCATCAATGATCAATTGTATTAACCACTCTTGATATTTTTCCTTTGGTTAGAACTTTATTATTGTTGCTTTGTTATTAATTATTTCTTGTATGTTTATTTATGTTTAAATTAGCTAGTTAGTTTAATTCTTTAAGATCCCCCCATTTTACTATTTATTTTTGGAAATCAGTCCAATCCCTGTAGAGATGATCCTATTTGCCACTTTATATAAATTTATATTTTCTAAACTAGGTATTTTATTTTTTATTGGTTGACAATCTGTCAAGTAACATTTGCTATTTTCTAACTGCTCGCTTATTGTTTTATGTACTTCCTATTCCTTTTTTCTTTTTACTTTTCTAGGATCGTCATAAAACAGAGAAGGTACTTTTATGTGTTTTGTGAACAGCCCACCATGATGTGTTGCAAAAGTTTAATAACAGCCTAATCTTAAATATAAAGTGCATTTTATGCTATTACGATTTTTTTTGTGCCTTCATAAGGAATGCTTTAATATAGTTATTCTTTTTAATGCATCTAAAGTTAGTATATTGTGATTATGTTATTTTACTGATCTACTTCGACCATTTTGTTTTATATGATTCTATAAACCTTTTGTAACTTTTCATGATTTTTCAAATAGTAGATGTGTCAAAAGGGATCATTTCAAAAATCTCCCCTAAGATTTTTAATACTTTTACTGACCTCTCATGATGTTTTGAAAATTACACTAACCTTCCTTGAATTTAAGATTTTGGTATTAAAATCAGTTCAAGTAAAAAAAAAGTATTATTAGAAAAGTATTTTGAAGAGTGAGATGATAATTTTATCCCATATATGCCCTTTTTTGATTGTTGACAAGTAGTATCAGTTAAAAATGAAACAACTAGTAAGAGTAAAAGTCAGGGGTAATAAGTGCAATTCGTAAAGACGCAACAACAACCTGAGGCAATAGTAATATTTGCAATGGCTAATGCAAATTGCAACAACCATATTTTCAATCCTTTACAATGCCATATTAAGGTCACAACTAGTTATACAAAGCTATGAAATAATCAATGTAAGCATCTAAATTTGGGGCAAAAAAGAATTGATCTTTTTATTGTAGTTGGTACCGTAAAAGTGAAGTATTTGTGTAGAAAGCACAAGGGTCTTAGTCAACAAATTAGCAATAAAGGCATGAATCAGTTTTGTCTCGACACAAGATTTAATAAAAAAAGTTAGACATCTCTCAAAAACATATTACCTATCTCTTAACCTAAATAAGTTCACAAAATTGCATAGATCATGTAAACACATAACAAACAGAACATCAAGTGTATTCTGGAATCAAAATTTAATAGGACACATAGATGTTGTCCAACATCAGAATCTAACGATCAAACCTTTATATTTTTCAACAAATATTGTTCAACCAAATCGTCTAAAGTTGTGTGTTCTTGTCATTGTCAAGTGATGTGTACAAGGCTATTTATCCTTCATTGTTAAGTTATGCATGACACTATCTTAGGATAGCAATTGATGCTTTTTTTTTTTATTGCAGTTGTGGTCACTAATTTGAGATGAAATAATCTGGTTTAGTTAGTTAAACTTATATATTTAGTGCTGAATATCCATCTATAATAAAAGCATGATGTCTTAGCTATAGAGTAGTACTTTTACCACATATCATGTAAGTAATTGGGTCTAAATTTCTAATAACAGAGATCAGTATAATTTCTGAAACCTCAAGAGAGGTTCAATGAAAGTGTCAGAAATCCCAAGGGAGGCTTCTGAAATCATCCCTGAATAAAAAATGGATATCAGCACTAAGTGACTGACATGGAACTTGTGAGGCAAATTTCCCATTGAAACTACCACTTTGAATCATGTTTGGGAATTTCCTGCAAATTGCAAACCAATCCCAGACTTGAAGTTCCAGATAATCTGTCTAAGATAGACATGGTCATACCCATCAAGTCTTCTTATGATACTCTACTTCATGAGTATTCTTCTTATGTCTTTAATATCTGATTTGCTTCCCTTTTAATTACTTATCTTTTTGTAGACATTGATTTTATGAAAATTTCTGTGGAAAAAAGCATTTGTTTGTTAGCCTTGTCAATCGTTCCAGTCACATTCTTGAACATTTTCACTCAAATCACTTTTACAATTTTTACTATTTACCAAAAATTAAAAATAAAACGAAAAGAGTAATTTCATCTATTGCACGAATCAACAAGCCAATTGCCAGTTTTAAGTAAATTTCCATACCTATCCTACACCTCCAAATAGTATTTTCTTCGATAAGATATATACTTTCCAATACTTTTGTTGCTTGATTTTCAGCCCAACCCCCTCTTTCTAAGCATACTTTAGAAATTTGCCTTCATCAAAAGTGGTGCCAAGAGACTTAGTTGTCAAATTATCCTTAAATGGGGCAAATTTATGCAACACACAATATCTTCTCCAGGGTCAACAAAAGTATGCCAAACCCTTTTTTAACAAAAAAAAAGGATAAACAGTAAAATAAACACTAATAACTGCATTAAAATATCAAGGAAAAAGAGTTTTTGTTTGATAACTCAGCTTAGTGAAACCTACTTCTCCTTGAGATGAACTACATTGCACTTCAATAAAGAAAGATTGGTCATCTCTTTTTCCGTCCTTTTGTTTAAAATTGAATGATTTTTTAAAGCAAATTATCCAGGTAGCAATTAAATTTTTGACCATTCATCTATTAATAGCATATTTTTATTCACTAAACTATTAAAAGTGTAAATTTTGAACCATTTTATTTGATTTTACCATAAACTCTGTTAGATATAACTATTAATAGTATGTCTTGTAAGGCATGTAGACCCTTAGATCTGGTAGAATTAACGATAGAATGAAACGGAATGGCGTAAAATTCATATTTTTGATAGTTCAATAGGTAAAAACATACTATTAATAATTAAGTGGCCAAATCTTGACTATTGAAAAAGTTTAGTAGCTATCTGAGTAATTTGTTCTTTTCTTTTTTTTTGGACTTTTGGTGCTTTCTATGAAGTTTTATCAACTGATCTGTACATGAGACAGTAGAGTTCGTGCTGCCAAACGCACTTGTGATCATGCAAAATGCAGAGAATGCATTCATACAGCTTCAGAACTTTTACACTTTAGTCATTTTCAGCTTTCAATTGCTCCAAACCCCAAACCAAATGGCCACTAAACTATCATTTTCTGGCTCCAACTCCAAGAAAATCAATAAATGGCAATTTGTAGCTCTCAATTCCATTCTCAATTTTGTCATTCAAGAGGAGGAGTCTGGTGCTGGCGTTATTCGCTACTGACTCTGATGCAGAAAGTTCCGAGCTTGAATCTGACTGAGCAGATGGATTTATGGTAACTGTTGCCTTTGCAATTGGCCCATTGTTGTTTAACTGACAATATTGAACAGCACCTCTTGTTTTCATCACTTTTCTTTCATCTCCTGATGATGCTGAAAGTATTTTGAAAAAAAAAAGAAACAATAATGAAGTGAGCATAAGGGCCAAAAATGACAAAATGAACTCAGGAGGAGGACTCAAAATACGTCTCAGTTGCAGGAGATACTGAAGAAATGGACGGTGGGAACATTAGTACATTCTAAACGTGACAAATTCAAAGAGGGCTCAACAGGTCTCCTTCTAAAGAATTGAAGTATATGTATATAAAGAAGCGCTCAGACAATTGAAAAGAAAAGAAAAATCTTGCAGAGGTGTGGAAATTAGATGATCTTACCCGCTTGATTCAAATCAGGACCCAAAAAATGGTATTTTTCTGCAGAAACAGAGCTAGTGAAATAGCCAGGGGAGACTCTGTTTGAAGATGGAGTTAGAGAGAGATCAGTGCAAGTAGAGGCAGATTCCTCCCTATTATTGGTGGAAACATCTGAACCATTGCATGCACTATTCTGCAGAGTATTTACTGTAAATCCCTTATGGTATGCTTGAAAACTAGAGGGCTTTCTCCTCCTGTATACACTATTTTCCTCCCTCTGTTTTCTGGCGATGATGACATGCCAGTGATTCTTGACTGCATTATCAGTTCTTCCGGGAAAAAGCCTTGCAATCATAGCCCATTTGTTACCGTACATCCTGTGAGCTGCCAAGAGCCGTTCCTCTTCTTCTTCACTGAAAGCCATCTTGTTAATTCTTGGATCCAGTTGGTTGAACCATCTCAATCTGCAGCTCTTTCCTGCACCAATGCATAGAAATATTTTGAATCGACAAACCAGTTAATAATAAAAAAAAAAAAAGATAAAGATAAAGAGGTGACAGAAAATACAACTTTTGGTTAGTGGAAATTCCTTTTGCACATTCGGCATTCATAGAGTCCCTTTTTCAGAACACGAATTTCCAACATGACCAGCATTGTACGTGAAAGAGTTTTAAGCAACTAAATATGCCCATACATTGAACCCATCCACTTCCACACTTACCCCCCTACCCACCCCTCCCCCCCTTCCCAAAAAAACAAAAAACCCCGCAGCCCTCCCCAATTGAAAAAAAAAAAGTAACCAGGAAAGAAATTCAATAAAGACCAACCAATTGACCCCGTGTTGTCGACTGATGATTTATTTTGAAAATCTCATGGTTTCTTGTATTAAAAAAAAAAAGAATTCTTATGGTTTCCCTAGTCTTTACCTGATCTTCCTTCAAGTTTCTCAGCAATCAGATTCCAGTTCTGAGGTCCATATTGACAAACTAGTTCTTTCAGCTTAGCATCTTCATAAGGTCTCCAATGACCTCTGGAACAAAGTTTTGTATGTCCTCCACCATTCTTTTTCTTACTTTCTTGAGTTTCTTGATCAACTCTGCCATCATCTTCCCTCCGTGCTTCCCTACCATGATCTCCCACTAGATGAAAACACCAAGGCATTTTCACTTGCTGTTCTGATGGACCAGCAATCAAGTACTGAATCATTCCCCTTCTGATGTTCAAATCACTCTCTCCTTCCCAGGGAAAATCCATAGGAATGGGAACTTTTGGGATTGGAGGAGATGAGGAGTTCACTCCTTGAAAGCCATACTGCAAGCTGTCACCATCTCCTTTGTGTTGAAAATTCATTGCTCTCCAAAAGCAAAACTATAACTAATTTTTTTGTAGAAGAAACAATGAAGAAAGGGTTTCCTCTTCAATCAGAAGGATGTCACATTCTTTATCATTTGCTACCACAAAAAGAAGAGGAAAAGGTAAAAGCAAAACAATAACGTCCAAACTTTGAAGAGAATAATGAGGATCAGGGAAATGGTAACAGAACGGAGAGCATGACCTTTGCCTAAGAAAGATAGAGTTAAGACAAAAATGCAAACAAATTATTTCTATTGACAACAAAATTGTCTTGCTACTCTGACCCTTATATTGTTTTTGACACATTTTATAGGGTTGCGCGTTAATATGCCTAAATCATTTCTAAATTATTATAATATATATATATATAAATTTATAATATCCCTACTTATAAATATTTTGCCAAATTAGTTTTCTTACTATTAAAAAATTAATACAAAAAGCCCTTCTACCTCTAAAGTACTCGCTATCCAAATTTTTATAAGTTATTTTGAAGTGTGGAACCATTCTTACTAATATATTGGTACTAGATTTGTGAAAGTATGATATAAACATTGCAAGGGAAAATCTTTTAAGTACTCTACTGGCTAAATTCAACATATATCGAAATCCAAAAAGAACTTAAGAACGATTATTTTGTTATTTAATTATCCAATTGAATAAATTTAAAATTTTCATAGCATGCAGGAGGTGACATTCTGTAATTGAAGTTTCGTTAACTCAAATTTGGCCATTTTTACATCTAATAGAAACTCATTGTATATGTGAAGTAAAAATTGATAAATATTCCTCGTGGATTAATTTCACTTTGCAATCTTTAATTATATTTTTATTTTAATTCTTAAATTTTAAAGTGAGAATATTATTCTCTAAAATACAAAATATGTGCCACTTTAATAATGCATGCCTCACTTTAGTATTTAAACTACAACTTGTTATATTTTAGTTCCTCAGGTATGACAAATTTTTATATTTTAAGAATAAAAGTATGATAAATTTTATACTTTAAAAATTAAAGTATCTTAATGTGAAGTTTAGGAATGAAAATGAGAATGCGAGTATACTTAAAAGGTGTAAAGTGAAATTAGCAGCATTCAAGGTACACTTAGATAAATTCTTTCATTCGAGAAAATATTTATTTATCTAATTATTTTCTTTATCTGAATGAGATCATCTGGGGTGTCCTTGTCCAATTTGGGGACTGGATTGGTACCATATTTTTTAGCAAAATATATCATTTCTCTAGAACTATGTGTGTGCGTGGAAATCGAGAACCGCTCGTGTGGGTGGCGGTGGTGGGAGTCCCAATTGAACACTGTTGGGCTTGGAAGATTGTGTAACTGCTCTACTGTTCTCCCTTTCTCGATTTTTGAGGGAAAAAAAAAACAGAATCTGTTTGTCTGTTTGTGAAATCTCTGTCTGTTAGCTACTTTGCTTTGCTATGCATTATTTTGGATGGAGTAAAAGATGAAAGTTAGTAACGTCTTCTTAGTCAGATGATGAGGCAAGCACTTCCAACACCTTTCTGATTCTACTACGTTTGGTAGAGTGTATTTTGTTCTTAATTTTGTTTTTTTTTTTTGGTGAATATGTCCTGAAATGCCCTTTGAGTAGGTGCAAATAAGTTGAATTGAGTCAAACTTTTGTTTAATTAAACTGAATATGAATCAATTTTATTAAAATTGAAGTCAAAGTCGAACTAGAACTCAATCGTACTCTAATGTAAATCTAATCGAGCACAAATAAAGACTAAATTAAACAAAACTTGAATCAATTTTATCCAGCATGATATCGAACTCAAACCAGCACTCAATCGTGCTCTAATATAAACCTACTCGAGCTCAAATAAATTTTTTATTTTTAATTAAATAAAATTAATATTTCACCCTAATAAATAATTAAAATATTTGAGAGATACATGTAATTTTGTTACTAATAATATTAAAAATTAAAAATATATAAATTCGAGCTAGCCTGATGAGCCAACCAATTGAATATATACACAGCTTGACTTAATTGGTTCACCAAGTCAACTCGAGCACGACTTAAGGTCGGTGTTAATTGAACTCATATCAAGTTTTAACAGAGTCGACTTTCAAACTGACTCAATTCATTTGCAATCCTATTTGTGAGTTCTTCAAATATAAAGTTTTAAAATAATATTGAAATTCTGTTTGTGCTGTAATATTTTGATGATTTTTTCCTTTAGTTTTGCTGTTTCGTTAGAAAATTATTTTGACTCAAAATTTGTTTTAAGGATGGCAATTTGAATTAAAGATCTAGGTAATTAATGGAAAATGTGTAAACTCCATTTTATAAATTAATTAGAATGAAAGGAGACAGTGAATAAAATATTGGCTCACATTTATGACCTATAAAATATTTTTAGAGTTGGAATATTATATTGTACAAAATTTTGTAGAAAAATGAACGTTCTTTTTTATCAAATTAAAATGAAATAGAAAGACATTCATTTAAGGACAAAGGTAAGGCTGGTTTCAAATGCTTCTGATTTTCAGAATGAGGATGACAGGTGCTATTTTGGTTATTTTGTCCTTGAAAAAGTTAAAAGCAAGTTGTAAAAAACAAATAAGAGTGGAGAAGAAAAGAACAACATTTTTTGAATTAAAAGCAAATATCAGATGTTTAGAATCATTTGATAATAATGCAATACTATCATAGGAAAATGGGCAAACCACTGAAAGCTTGCTAGCGGTATGACAAAATATATAAAGAAATAATAAGCCCACCATATACAACTATTACCTGTTACCCATTAGTCTTAGCACGTGGGTACAAGTTGGCTGGATCAATTCCTAACAAAAGTCATGTTTTTTATTTTCGCTGTCAAATGAGAGTTGTGCTGATCAACAATCTGTAAGAATTTTTATAAAAAGTCTATGATTCTAAAGGGTATAATATTACCTACGGTGGTGATCGGAATTGAGTTCACCCAAATTTTTATAAAATAAGAAAAGAGAAATGGTCTTAGTATTTTTCTAGTGCCTCGGATTGCCCTCTGAAGATTACTTCCATTCAAAGATGAGCTTTCCAATATACGCATAACCGTAATAGCATAGTTATATAGCTCTTTATTGTCAAATTAGACAACTTCTGACCGTAGTACATTACAAAGCTAAGTTTGAGAAATTCCAATCAGTAGGTAAATCTGTAGTTCCTACTTTGCAGTTTTCTACTATAAGGTAAATTTATGGGACTATCCAGAGGGCATAAGTTATAGTAAATTAATTCACATATGTTGTAGGGTGGTTTGTATACTTAAATAACCGTCAGTATATTGTAGGGTGGTTTATTTTCAAATGTAATTTATACAATTGCGAGTGTACTGATTTTCCTTTTTTCGTTTTGGCCAAATTTGTTCTAAAATACTTTGTGAGTCTAATATTGTGGGAGAAATTTTATTAACTATATTATTTTTTTGTGATGGAGTGTATTTCACATAAAAGATAAATAAGAAAATAAAAAATGATGGGAAAAACGTATTGAGGAACTCTCTAAAAAATTTGCCTAAATAACTTCAATCCAAACAAATGTTTTGTGGTAGACTACCTTGATGACCTTTTTTCAATTTTGTTGTTCGGTCAGAAAAAGAATTTTATTCAAAATAGATTTTAGGGATGTCGAATTGAAATTAATAATTGAAGTAATCAATGGGAAACATAAGAAAGTTAAAATTTTAAATAATTAAAACATGGATTTTCTAACAGGTGCTCGCATTAGCACTCGATAGTAGCAATGTTTTGAAACTCGAACTGTTAATTGAACCGATAAAGTGATCGGATCGAGATTTAACCGATCGGACTGATTCAACCTGAGTTTGATGACTATATATATATAGACACATACACACACACTTGTGCACAGAATAAGATAATCCCATGGACCAATTTAAGACATCACTTGATAAAAAGTTAAATATTTTTAAACACAAATAAATTCATTTCAATTGTACCTATTAGGAAAAAATCTTAATCCTACACAAACCGCAACCATATTTTGAAATTAAACAAAATGCATTGGAACTTCTGAAATTAAACAAAATCTAATAGAACTACAAAAGAAAACGACAATTTTTGAGTTTGAGGGTGAGAAATAGAAAGGGTTTGGTTACACTTTTAGAAATTAGGGTTGGGAACAAAAGATTCAACAGATAAGTTTTAGGGAGAATTGTAATTTTGGTCCCCAATCTATAGTGTATGCCCAAATTGAGTCCCCAATCTATTTCTAAAATCAATTTTGGTCCCTAATCTATTCAATTTTGCGCTAAAAGTGGACAATTGACTGAATTTGTTCAATTTCAATCGGAACCATGTCACGTGAGATCACGTGCCGGCACTAAAACCCCCTTTTCAATTTTTTTTAATTTCCGAAACACCTTTTTTAATATTTTCAGCTCTGTCTTGCCTTTAGACATATTAAACAAAGACATTAATTGCTAAAATTCTCTAATTAAGGACTGGAGCCCACCAAAAAGGTTGAATATCAAACAGAGGAAAAGAAGCTGTCGTCCACTACTCAACCTGGGCAAACTCTCTTCAGCAAACAGCTCACCGAACCCTAAGAGCCAAAATCAAGAATCAAAACGTGAAAAAATTACGAAAAAATCTGCTGAATTCAGTCAAGCTGAAGCTGCTCGTGGCATTACAAAGTAGAAATGGCAGTGAGACCTAAGGAAATGAACAAGCTGGCAGCACCTAATTATGGTATGGGATTTTGCCTTCTTTTTGTGATATATATCCACAATCGCCAACTATAATGTTAGAATATAGTGGAAAAAAGATGCTTTTTGTACTTGGGGGAGAAAAATCTGACAATTTTGGCTTTATTAACGACCAATCTTGAAAAACTAAGGAAAAAATTTGTCATTTGTGGTGTGGTCCATGTGTGTCTCTAAACGGGATCTTATCATGCTGGTTCTTACTGTACAAGTGGGAATTATTTTACTGCAATTGATGGTCCTTGTCTTTGAATGTTTGCTAAAGTATGCATTTTTTATTGTCGGTTTGCTAGCAGCACCTATTTCTGTCATCTAAATTATGGCCTGTGTTGTTTTTATTATTTTTTTTTAATGTAGACAGTGATAGCACGGAAGTGACTATGAAGTGTCACTTATGGGGAAAATGCGAAACTAAACCTGATCTTCATTATGAGGGAGGTGAATTAAGGGTATTTGATCATGTAGAGGTCACAGGTATAAGCCTTTTTGAAATGGATAGAATGTTAGAAAGTCAGGTTGGGGCTA